GCCATGTCCTGCCCTGTGCTGGACACAAATGATAATCTTTGAGTGAGTTTGTGTCTGGGGTGTTATTGTCCATCTCCAGAGGCTCTTGGAGAATGGCACCTGCCTGTCATCCTCACTGTTATACTGCAGCATCCCGCACATGGGAAGGGCTTAGGTGAATTAATCCTGAAAGAAGCTTGAACTTGAGCCTCTGTCCTTTCGGTTGCCAGCTTGTGTTGTTTGAGCACAAAGAGAACCCCACTTCCTCCTCCCCTCTTCTGCGCTCCTCTCCACAACATCAGTGCCAAGCTTTTGACTTTGTCTGTTTATGAGATCAGCTAAGCTGAATGCGATGAACTGGCATTTTTAATTCATGGTCTTGAATAACATGTATGACTCATGGGCAAACTGTTGATGATTGGTAGAGCCTCTCCAGCCCCTGCCTGGCTCTTAACCACAGCTTCTTCCTCCTAGAGATGTGGGCAGCATTGTCAGGAGAAAGAGTAGAAGCACTAAGGTCTGACCTGGATTAGTATTTAACAACAGCAATTCCAGCTCACTCTCTAACCAGCCCATGACCTTGGACAAGTTACCTACCCTCTCAGAACCTCAGTATTCTCATTGTTAAAGATGAGATTGGTTCTACCTACAAAATAAAGATTATGCACGGACTCCATGGGCTAATGTGAAAGTGCCTTATACACAGTGGTTGTTATAGAAACACGTTTTCTTTCATTTCTCCTTAGTCCCCATATTCTTGCTTTTCTCAGCTTCCTGTCAGACTGGGGTTTCATTCATTCATTCATTCATTCACTTGCCCATTCATTCAGCTGTTCACCCTCAGGACTTCACGTGGCCTCTAGAGTCAGTCTCTGACTAGAAGACGATAAAGCCCAAACTCCCATAGCTAATTTTGAGACTCTCATTCTCTTCGCTCTCTCAATCCAGCTGTATTCTCGATGGCATCCTAATACCACCTGAACTCAAGTATGGAATTGTCTTTCTTCCTGGACAGCTTCACCTCCTCTCTGCCTCTGGGTCTTATCTCATGTTATTAAATCCAAAGAAGGCACTCTCCTTTTCCCACCACCCAAACTTCAGGTCTCATTTCCCTTTGCCTTCCCTGATGACTGTGGCCCACACCAACCTCTTTTCTGAGAGCACGTACGGCCACACCACATGGCTGGCACTCAGTCTCCTCTTGGCTGCCGATTTCACGGTACATTGATCACCGCAGAGAAAGCAGAGAAGGCGGGGCAGCCTGGCACAGCAGTAAACATGCGCATTTGTGCTCTGTCCTAGGGATCTCCTTCTCCCTCTTTTCAATCAAATGTGGGCCCCCAGCCTCACACAGCTCCTGGTATTGAAGAATCCCCTCTGATATTTACAAAAGCTTCTACCTAGGAAATCCAAGAGATTCCTTTGGTTTCTAATAGTACTAACTAGTTACTGAAAGTAGGAAACACACACACATATATATCTGACAATAAATAACTAGAAAATGTAACTAAAAATTAAATCTCATTCACAATAGAAACAAAACCATCAACTTATAGACTGCTAAAGAGGAGATTTAGCAAGAGGGGTGCAAAGAAGGAAACCATAACAAAGATGAAAAACATAAAACTTTGCCAAAATACATAAAAACTAAGTCATCTACAGTGCTCCTGGCGAGGGAAAATTAGTAACATAAAGATATCCATTCTCTCCAAATTAATCAATTCCTGTGTAATTCCAATCAAAATCTGAATCAGATTTTTTTGGGACTTGGTAATCATAAAGTTCATCCGAAAGCATAAATTTGGGAAATAAGCTAATAAGTTTTAGGGAAAAAATATCAAAATTTGAGAATATGAAAACCCAAGTAAGCTGAACAGCTGTGTTCCTGGTGCCACAGGTAGATTCTAGCACAGGAAAAGGGGAGAGCACTGGAACTGAGAAAAGAGTCCAGAAACAGCCAGCAACTAAGGGGACATTTCAAACCAGTAGGGAGAATCAGGATTCTTCAGCTATGAGCATGTCATCATCTGTGGGTATCATGAGCACCATCTGAAATGTCAGGTACATCCTAGGCAAGCAAGGCCTGGTACCAGGCTCGTGAAAATTATGATCTAGTTATAATTAGGGAGAAGCATAGTCTACAAATAAGTACACTATGAATAGACTGGTAGATGCTAAGGAGGGAGTAAACAGATGTTTTAGTAGGCAAAGTGTGGAAATGGCTACTTTAGATAGGTGTTGGGACAATTGAGGGTCAATTTGGAAGAGTAACGAACTTATTGGCTGCAAAAAAATGAAACTGGCCAGGCACAGTGGGTGGCTCACACCTGTAATTCCAGGACTTTTGGAGGCCAAGGCAGGAGGATTGCTTGAATCCCAGCATTCACGACCAGCCTGGGCAACATAGAAAAACCCCATCCCTACAAAAAATAAAATTGGTCCCAGCTACTGTGGTCCCAGCTACTGGGGAGGTTGTAGTGAGCTATAATTGTACCACTAAACTCCAACCAGGGCAACAGAAAAACGCTGTCTCAAAAAAAGAAAGAAGAGAAAGAAACTGTACAAGTCCCAGGAAAATATTAAGGTATTAAAATTTAGTTTTGTTTTTGAATCATTGGGTTGGGAGAGAGGTTTGCCCAAGCACAACATGACATCCAGTATCCTTCAAGGAAAATACTACATGTTTGATTTCATAAAATGAAACACTTCTATACCAAAATGGATACCACAAACCAAAGTTAAATGAGAAAAAGTCACCAGACACTAGGAGAAAATATTCGCAACAAATATATAAAAGAGAAATCAAGGCTGGCACAGTGGCTCACACCTGTAATCCCAGCACTTTGGGGGCTGAGGTGGGCAGATCACAAGGTCAGGAGTTCGAGACCACCTTGGCTAACACAGTGAAACCCATCTCTACTAAAAATACAAAAAATTAGCTGAGCATGGTGGCACACATCTGTAGTCCCAGCTACTCAGGAGGTTGAGGCAGGAGAATTGCTGACCCGGCAGGTGGAGGTTGCAGTGAGCCAAGATTGCGCCACTGCACTCAGCCTGGGCGACAGAGCAAGACTCTGTCTCCAAAAAAAAAATTGAGAGAAATAGAAATATACAAGATAAATAATAGTCATAATATATAAGTAGAATTTTAAAAGTTTGCATCCATCAATTAAGATGAATAAAGAATTTGAAAGGTACAAATGCCCAATAAATATGCGCAAAGATATCCAACCTTACCAAATCATCTAAATTCAAAACTTCCAGCGAGATTCCATTGTGGTCTAGCAGATGAGGGAGCATTGTCATAAAGAATATATTTACATTATAATATCTAATGCTGATGAGGTGAAGTTTAAAGAGAATAGTAACATCAATACTGGTAAGTGGAAATAGAAATTGAAACAAAAAAATATACTTATTAATTTGTCCCTTTAACAGACATGCATGCTTCCAGTCTAGCATTTTCCATCTATTCCTAAGAGTTCCATGGAATACTAATTGATATTGCAAGAGAAAAAGAAGTTTGCATGATCAAGTAATGCTTGGGAGGATACTTGAGAGATAATTTAGCAGGATTTATTTTAAAATTTTTAAATAGATACCCTTTTACCCCCCAGAATTACTTTGGCAAGTCAACTGAAATATTAACAGAAATGCACAAAGCTGCATAAAGATGAGAATGTTCCTTGCAGTTTCATGTGAAATTGTGATGTATAACAGTGTTCATTTCTGCAGAAAAAAAAAAATGAGGGTGATGTTTATGTCCATGATACAGTATTAAATGAAGAAAGAAAGTTATAGAAAACTACATAAAATATGGTCTCATTTTGAGGGAACAATATATATATATGTGTGTGCTCATTGAAAAAACTCTGGACGCACATGCACCAAACCTACTATTAATTGAATAGCTCTGGAGAACAGGTTGGCTGCGTGAAAGAGAGACTTTTTTTTAATTCAGTACATCTGTATATTGTTTGCCTTTTCTCTGCCTCAAGCATGTCTTATTTTTAAAATTTAAAAATATATTTTTAAAAAGAGATAGTGATAAATGGATTCGATCCTGGAACAGAAAAAAAAAAAAGACATCATTGGAGAAACTGGTGAAATTTAAATACAGTCTGGAGTGTAGTTCATAGTAAGTATGCCAACATTGCTTTCTTAGTCGTGACAAATGTACCATGGAAATGGTGCATTTCCAAAATGTCAGCAATAGAGGAATGGTGAAGGGTCTATGGGAACACTCTGTATTATCTTTGCAACTTTTCTGTAAGCCTAAAATTATTTCACAATTTAAAAAAAATGATTAACAGAGAAAGTCCCGCAAGTTTGTAGCCAAGATATCTTTGGCTGTTGGAATCTTTGGTTCCAGAAATTCAGGTTACTACTTGAGCTCTCTTGCTCTGAGAGCTCTTTCTGTGTCCTGTAGACCCCCACATTTGGAGACCCCTACCTGGCCTCCTGAGGTCTGCAGTGATTATCTAAGCCAGGGCTACATAGAGCTAATATCACCAGAATTCTCCTCTGGGAAACCGAGGTGTGAGGTCACCCCTACCTGCACCATGGCTGGGCCAGCTTCTCAGAGACTCCACAGTTCCCCCTGCCCTCTATCCCTTATAATTTTTTTTTTTTGCCGATATCTTTTGTCCAAGCCAGATCCTGCCTTCTCAGTATTCCGCTTCCAACCTAGAATGGTAACAATATGGGCTCAGGGAGAGGTCTGCAGGCTATGTAGGGTTGAGGAGAGGGATGTAGTCTGACAGTGGCAACATGGAGCTCATAAGAAGAAAAGGATGCACAAAAGCCACACCCCTCACTCTTGTCCCCATTGCTGGGGGCCCCCGTGGGAGGAGCTGGCCTGGTGAAATCATGAGGATGCTGCCAGACGCTGCCTTCTCTCCCTTCCAGCCAGGCTTCGTAGGTTTAGGGCCAGGCTTCGTCGGGTTAGGACCTTCTGATCCGAGACCCCTGGAAAAGAAGGGGCTGAGCCCGGATGACCACTGCCTCTTCTCTCCGTGCAGGCTACACTTCCTGGTGTTTGACACAGAGGAGGTTCATGATGTGCTGCGCATCTGGGACGGGCCTGTGGAGAGCGGGGTTCTGCTGAAGGAGCTGAGTGGCCCAGCCCTGCCCAAGGACCTGCACAGCACCTTCAACTCAGTTGTCCTGCAGTTCAGCACTGACTTCTTCACCAGCAAGCAGGGCTTTGCCATTCAATTCTCAGGTCTGTTTGTGCCCTCTGCCAGCCCCACTCCACATGTTCTGACACATGGCACCCACCTCCCTTTGGTCCTCGCTTTCCTTCATCCCTCAGTCCATGTAATGATAGTTATTGAGCATCTGCTATGTGCCTGGTATACGTTTAGCACCTGCTTGGATGTCTGTGCTGAGCTCACTCTGGTGGGGAAGACAGGTGAGTTAATAGACACTTACATACAAATTGGTAAGTGTCTAAATGGAGACATGTGGGCTATAATGGTCACCTTGGAGCAACAAGGAAGATGTTCCAGAAAAGATGATGTCCAAACTGAGACCCAAAGGAGAGGTAGAAGTTACTCAAGAAAAGGAAGTGTTTCAAGGAGCAAGTAGTCATCTATGACAGGGAAAGGTGCCACTGAATTGGACTTTGGAGGACTTGTGCACCCCATTAGATGGAAAAGAGAGAAAAGGGCATTCTAGGTGCAAAGAACACACCAACAAGTGTAGATTCAGGAATGTGGGTTCCAGAAGTAGAGGGCTACCCCATGTGGCTGAAGCACAGGGAGCACAGAGGGATGTGGAAGGTACAAGTAGACGGAGGTTTGGGGCACGGTTATGAATGAGCTGATGGGACATGCTACACGCTCGCGTTCTTAGCTGAGTGCAGGTCTCAGCAAAGACTGGAAACCAACATGAGTAATCTAAATGTAATTAATTAGGCACTGCAATAGCCAATTATGGAGGAGCATGACAAAGAGCTACCCAAAATGGCCAATGCTCAAACATCCAAGTCCCAATATGAGATAATTTATATGATTGGTCCTGCCTCTCCTTGGAATGCATCATCCATCTCCTCTGAAGTGCCTCTTCCATCAATCCTCTCCCTGAACAAGTGACTCTGCCTTGGTTTCTGCTTATGTTTATTATACAGCAGCTGTCTTCATTACCATCTCCTTACCCCACTGCATGTGTGGTGGGAGGGAGGGGGAGTTTCCATGGTAATTCCAGAGCAATTTCTTGTGGCACCTGTGCCATGGCTTTGCCCTTGAGCTCTCTCCCATTGGTGTATCAGCTAAGGGTGGTTGGGGTATATCCCTGGCACCACCGAGGTTGTTACAGAGTTGCAAATCCTGCTTCTAGCTTTTTTCTGCTACGTCTGACATCTCTGTGGAGATGAGCATTTAGCAGCGTGGGGAGCAGATGAGAGTCTCCGGGATCACATTGCTTTATACTTATTAATTTGTCCGTTTAACACTCATGCATGCTTCCAGTCTAGCATTTTCCATGTATTCCTAAGAGTTCCATGGAATACTACTTGATATTGAAAGAGAAAAAGAAGTTTGCACGATCAAGTAATGCTTGGGAGGTGCTCAAGTTGATGCAGACCTAAGAAAATGATCTGCAATTTGGGACCTCTGAGAACATTTACTATGCTAATGCATTTAAATTCCAAAGATGTCTGGTAGGTCACAATTTCCAAACATATTCCATCATCAATGACTTTTTTCAATGCCATCTCAAGAGACTAGCATTTCATAGAACAAACTTGGGAAATTGCTGGGATAAGCAATGGAAGGATCTCCCAGCAGTAAGGAAGTAAGGAGCATAGAATGCTAAAAAGATGGCTCAGTCCACTCTCTGGGGAAAGGAGTATTATGAATAATTAAAGCCAGACATATTTTCTCCCACTGTGCCCAAACTGATGGGTATGGCTTTAAAAAAAGAAGCCCATAATTATGCTGACAGATTCCCCCACAGATTTGCATTATGTGACCCTCACTGTGTCCTCAGTTTAGCCACGTGGGACAGAGTGCTCGCCTGTGCTGTGTACAGGCTGCTTTCTCAGGCATTGCCCAACTCATGGAAGTCCTATTCATCCTTCAAGGTTCATCTCAGATGCCACTGCCTCCCATTCTCCCCATTCAGAGTAAATTGCTATAGCCCGTGGCACTCGGCACTTTACTTCCACTTATTCAGCACATTGTCAACACCAGGCATTCCGTCTCATTTGAAGCTGGGCACCTACTTGCCATCCCACTAAAAGTTCCTTCCATGCCTCCAGACTCTCTCATGGTGTATGTATGCAGCAGGTGCTCACTCACTGCTTAGTGAGCAAATGGACACATGAAGATAGGAACACATTAATGGATAGCTTTCTCTAACACAAAGGTTTCCTTGGGCGAGCTGCCCTTAGTATTGCTTAGGCAGAGTAGCATGGTCAAAGCTGCCTAGCCTGGGCTCCAGAAAGGTCATGACAGCCTGGCCCAGTGTTATGGGCATAACCAAGGTTTGGGAAAGGTCACCTTTCCTGTTGCTGTCATCAGTTAGCAAATACCAGGACTACTCTAGGGAAGAGAGAACGGCTCACCCCATGTTAACTTTATAGTGTGTATTTGACAGGGGATTGTACAGAAATGCCAGAGACGATTAGTGCAGGCTTGGCTTTATTAAGTAAACATGACTGTGTAACATCTAACATCCTGTCTGTACCACGTGGATCCAGCCTTTCCCTGGGTGCTTTGCCAAGCAGCTCCAATTCAGGAGCATTAGAGAGAGAAAGGGAGAACAAAAAAAAAAAAAAAAAAACAGGTGAGTAGGAAGCATAATTGCAGCCATCTATTGAGGTGGGTGAGCCATCGGCTCTTATAATTTTCATGAAACCCTTACAGTATGGGCACCATTATTACTCCATGTTGCAGATGTGGTCTCTGAGGCTTCTCATGCAAGGTCATCTAGTTAATAGAAAAACCCATGTGTCTGAGTCTTAAACCTAAGCTCTTAATCATTGTATGCTATTGCCTCCCATATAAATAATCCTTCCATATATGGCCAGAGCAATGAGCTATTTTTCTTTTAGGGGATCATTTGTGTGTGTACAGTGCACTATAAAGCTGAAAGCTAAGTCTGATTTTAACTGGGAAGGAAAAATATTGTTGCTTACTTGACTTTATAAATAAGTTCTGTAGCTGTCAGATGTTGATATATAAACAAATGAGTGTACCTGTGTTCCAGTAAAACTTTACTTACAAAAATAGGCATAGGGCCAGTTATGGCTGTGGACCATAGTTTGCTATATGCTTCCTTAGGCGTTACTGTGTATAAGGTATCAGATTCTGTAACTCAAGATTCATGTACAGTCCTAGAGGTTATAATTAGTGATGTCTGTACACAGTTGTCCTAGGCTGCTGCTTCTCAAGCTTTTCCACGGACATCCTCCTAATAACAGAAGAGAATGTGTGTGTATCCCCAGGAGGTCTGAAGGGTATAGCAAGCACAAAATATCTTTAAGGCTTCATATTTTCACTTAAAAACTAATGTGAATTTTACATTGTAATCCAGAATAAATTCTTTTGTTTTAGTGTAATAGTAGTTTTTTCTTAAATTGTTGAGAAAACTGATACTCCAATCAAATGAGTATTATTTATCCTATGGTTTCCAGAAGCTCCTTGCCCTAGAGTCTGCTGAGCACAGTCTCTAAGGGATGACATAGCTGGGGGCTGGGACCGGGCCCCACTATCAGCTCTGGGCCGTGGAGGCAGCCAGGGTTGTTGCAGCTCTTGAGATTCCTTTCTCTAGACTTACTCTTGCACCATTTGCTCTGGTGTGTTTTCTCATGCCACGTTTGTTCATTCATTCACCCACTCATTCTTCTATTTATGTATTCATTCCATCTATCATTCATTCAGTATTCACTTATAAAACACCTGCTCTATGTTAAACTAGGTTAGGTACTAGACATGAAGATCTCCCAAATTCCTGAGTATTTTGAATTTTTAATATCTCTCAGCTATTTTTGAACTCTTCTCTGCCCACTTGCTACAAATATCTGACTTTTCTTCAAATATGGTTTCAGTCTGATGAATCCTTGGTTGTTTGCCATTGCAAAAGAGAGCATGATCTTGACCTAACTTCAGTAACTCTCTACAGCCTCACACCACTGCTCAGCATTTAGGCAGGCCAACTCCCAAAGTCCTTTGCAGACCCTTCTAATTGAATACATGGAGTTTATTTATTTGTTTGTTTGTTTTAGAGATGTGATCTTACTCTGTCGCCCGAGTACAGTGACCCAATCATGGCTCACTGCAGCCTTAACCTCCTGGGCTTAAAGGATCCTCCCACCTCAGCCTCTAGCATAGCTAGGCCAATAGGCAACCATCAGCACACCCAGCTCATGTTTTCTCTGTTTTGTTTTCGTTTTTGTTTGTAGAGTCAGGGCCTTGCTGTGTGACCTCATGTGATCCTCCTGCCTTGACGTCCCAAAGTGCTGGGATTACAGGCATGAGCCACCACACCTGGCAACATGGAGTTGAGATTTGATTACCTTGTCACTTCCTCATTCTGATCATGTTAGTTACATTGTACAAAATTGCAATGCTTTGTTTATGTAACAATGCTTGCATTCTTAAGCTAAATTCAGTTCTATAATTATAACAGTGCAATCATGCTTAACTTATAGCATCTCATGACAGGTGGATGACTGTAATGGTGGAGATACTGGAAGAATGGTGGTGGTGGTATCAGTGAGAGTGACAAGTGTGATCACAAATGGTGGTGGAGGTAGTGACAGTAATGGGAGTGACAGTAGTGGCACTGTAGCCACAGCTTCTGGTGGTGGTGGGGAGGTGATGGTGGTTGTAGCAGTGTACGGATGATGGCAGTCGGTAAGGGTGATGAGCTGGGAGCCTCATGACTGGCAGAGACCCGGGCAACCCTACCCTCTCTTCTATTTTCTTGCCCCAGTGTCCACAGCAACATCCTGCAATGACCCTGGGGTCCCACAGAATGGGAGCCGAAGTGGTGACAGTTGGGAAGCCGGCGACTCCACAGTGTTCCAGTGTGACCCTGGCTACACGCTGCAGGGAAGTGCAGAGATCAGCTGTGTGAAGATCGAGAACAGGTTCTTCTGGCAGCCCAGCCCGCCGACGTGCATCGGTACAAAGCAGCTGCAGCGTGCACGCTGCCCGTGGGGCTCACAGTTGTGTGCTCCAGAACCCTTCATGCAAGCGGCAGCTGCATCTTGGGCCTGGGGCCAGGAGAACTGGAACAGATGAAAGTTGCAGAAAACCCACCGTTTACCCTGCTTTGCATGCATGTGTCCCCACATGCACTCACTCACATTCATACTCTACACACACAGCACTACAAATTCCTCACTTGCTAAAATGGTCCCAGAGATTTCCAAGTCAGACAGGTCTGTCCCTTTTTCTCTGGCCCAGGCAGTACAGGTCAGAAGGAGGACAGTGGGTCACTTTGGGTAGTAAAGGCTAACAGGTTCCAAAATGACCCTTCTATTACCTGAAGCAATAGAAGGGTACCCACAGGCTCAGAATATAAAGAAAAGAACCTTGCTTTTCCTGTTCTCGAGGAAATTATTGGTTACCTGGGTTTTGGTTCTTTTAGATTTTAGAGACAGGGTCTCACTCCATCGCCCAGACTGGAGTGTAATGGTGCCGTCATGACTCACTGCAGCCTTGACCTCCTGGGCTCAAGTGATACTCACCGCTTAGCCTCCCTTAGCTCAGCCCACAGGGTTATGCCACCATACCCAGCAAATTTTCATATTTTTTTGTAGAGATGGAGTCTTACTATGTTCTCCAGGTTTGTCTCCAACTCCAGGGCTCAAGTGATCCTCTTGCCTTGGCCTCCCAAAATATTGGGATGACAGGGTTTTGCTTCTTTAGATCTGTTCTCAGTCTTAAAACCTCCCTATAGGAGAGAAGAAGACATGAAGGACCTGAGACTTGTCTAAAGTCACATCACTTAAAGAGAGTAGGGCCTGAAAAATCCTGCCTCTAACTACTTGAGACTGAGAGGAGGAGGGAACTTGAAGGAAGTATGAGATGGGAAAGAAAGGTAAATAGATAGAAACAAACACTCCAGGTGCCTGCTTTCAGGGTATTTTGCTCAGGTGAAATAATGAGTGTTTATCTCTCCTGTTGATGCTGGCTGTTAGAAGAGAAGAGAACCCATGGTCAGTGAGTCCTTACTGTGTGCTTTCCTGTACTGGACATTTACTTAGATAACCTCATTTAACTTCCCTGACAGCTCTCTGAAATTAGCACCATTTCCTCATTTACACTTCAAATTGAAACTTAGACAAATTTGGATATCTTGTCCCAAATCACAGAGCTAGGATATGGCAGAGCCAAGATTTACACCCACGATAGTCTGAATGCAAAGCCTCTCATTTTCCTACCTCCCACACCACTCCCCTGCTGGAGATGGGCATGAGGGACTTCTGAGACATCTGCAGGAGCGTCTGCCCTGACCTGCACCTCTCTTATGCAGGCTTGATGGGAGGCAGTGCGCTGTCCAGGCACCTGAGGACTGGCCTATGCCAGTCATAGTTCTGAGGCCTGGCCCTGAAGGTGAGACACTAAATCCTAATGGGAATTAGGAGCCACTAGGGTGTGTGGGGCAGGAAGTTGAGACCTGGGTTTCAGATCCAGCTGATTTCTTCACTATATATTCTGCTGTGTAGAGAAGAGCATGGGATATTGAAGTAGACACATCCAGATTTAGTTTCTGGCTCTGCCATTTACTAGTTTGGTGGCCTTGGGAAATTGCTTCCACTCTCTGAGCTTGGGTTTCCTCATCTGTGAGGAAATACACTTCCCTTATGACATTGTGGGGTGAGGGCACGCCTAACCCCCATTCTATCTTCCTTCCTTCCTTCTTTTCATCCTTCCCTTCTTTGATTTCTTCTTTCAAGTTTTCAGACTCACTTGCTTTCCCTAAGCCAGAATGCCATCTGCTCAAGGGAATTCTGATGAGGCACAGGAGGGAATCTGGAAACCTCTGAGGCTCCTTCCAAATTCAGCCTTCTACAAGGCTGTGATTCCTTAGACTTATTTTTACAGAAAAGCAGGCGAGATTGTCCCAGGTGGAGAAGGAGGATTGTGCTAAGCTGAGGAGAACAATAAATGTGCAGTGGGCAGGGTGGAGAGGTTAATTCAGTTTTCATCACCCGTTCTTCTACATTCAGCTTTGGGAAATGTTCCTCAGGCAACAGAATAAATGCCTTTGCCTCTTCTCTCAAACGAACTGGAAATCCCAGTGACATGCTTGTAATTTCCAGCTCCCTGGGCGTTCTGCCATGAGCGAGTCTAGCTGGCCTTGATAAGCCTTCATTACAGGGAGGAGACAAAGGAAGAAAACAAATACTCATTGGACACTGTCCCCATGATAGGCACTGGGCTAGACATTTTAGCTACATTATTGCAGCTGCAATCACTCTGTGGTGAGGTGAGAGCTTGGGATTCCACTCCCTGGGCTCAGGTCTGGCTTCACCACAGCAGGCTGTGTGGCCTTACACAGATTGCTCAACTTCCCTGTGCCTTAACTTCCTTACCAGTAAAACAGGGAAAATGATAGTACCTACCTTCTAGCTTTGTTTTGAGGATTAAAAAAGAAGATACTAAGAACTGTGCCTGGTTCATAGTTAGCACTGTGTATGTTAGATGCCATTATCATCATTATTCTTTTACTTTCGAGGTGAGGGAGTAGAGGCTCAGAGGGGTGGACAGCTGGACCAAACTCAAACAGCCAATGAGTGGCATTGTCAGAATCTGAGCCCAGGATTGTATGACTTCCACATCAATGCCCTTTCCACAATTCTTGCCCTCAGTCCAACCTCCCCACTTCTTGGCTGTCTAGAAGGATCTGCAGCTTGCACCCACTCCCATCTGGGCAACCATGGTTTAGTAACCTCAACAGGACCCCTCAACTAGCCCTGAGCAGTGGGATCCTTCCTGTTGGTGAGGCAGCCCAGGGATCCATGCAAGGCCTTGGGGCACAACAGGAAGCGGCCAGGGAAGCCCATGCTGGGGTTCTGAGTGGGAAGCACATGCCTGATGCCGTGGAGCCATCTAGAAGAGAGCTGTGCACAGGGATCAGCAGCCTAGAACCCAGAGACACTGACAGTACTTTGGGGATTGGTGAGAGAGTAATGGGGGCAGTTTCAGAAACCACAGAGACTCACCCCATCTGTGGCAAACTTAAAGGAAGAAGCCCCTGAGCTGCCAGAGGGAGGCGGAGGGTGGGAACCCAGAATAGAGGCCTCATTGTGCCCCCTTGGGAAGATTTTCCCAGAGCTGGGACTTCTGATGTGACACTGGCTTTTCACTCTCACTGTCCACATCAGACTCTGTTTCTAGGCTGGCCTGGGCAAGGCCTCACTCCATAAACTGTACATTGCCATCTTTCTTTGCTAAGTTCAAGGGTCTAGCCTGATTGTACTGGCCTCTGGTTGGCTCCATTTATCTCGCCCTCTGCTCTCAAAGGGTTCAGTGGAGACGCGAGTGAGACATGAGCAGATCTAACCAAAGGTACCATCCTCACTCAGAAGCTCCTGCAACAACTGGGCTCTCCCCTGCTGGTCTGCAGGGAGAAGCACTCCTCTACTCTGGCCACTGCCACAAGCTGTGTGGAGGTAGAGAAGGGGAAAACAACAGACTTTGGAGCCAGTCCCATGTCAGTTTGAGTCTCAGGGTGACTCTGGCAAGTTACTTAGCCTTTCTGAGCCTCACTTTCTTCCTTTATAAGTCAGGAAGAATAATCCATTGCTTGTTGAGTTGTTAATAAGACATAAATGAGATAGTGTATCTAAAATGCAATTTGTCAAGTCTAATACATAATAGATGTGTACTTGAGTGTTTCTGGTACTCAGGATGGTACTTGGGATATATTTTCCCATGGGGAAAAAAAAAGCAGACTCCTCACTGATGTGGCCTGATGTTCAGCCACGTCAGGGCTCTTATGCCTGACCTAAAGACCTACCATTTGTTTGAGACCCTGTTAGGGATTGACCCAGCCCTTTAAGCCTGACCCTGAGTAAAAGCCACAGCCGGAGGTGGCTCCACGACACAGCCAAAGCAGCAGTGCCCAGCTCTATGACAAGCCAGTGGCTGCCCCTAACTTTGGAATGCCCTCTTGCTGTCCCCACAAAAACTCTTCTTGGATTTTCTAGCCAGCCCTTAAATGGCTGTCTGTGTTCCTGTGGGCTCAGTGTTTACATCCTCTGATGGTGCCCTGTGGTTTCCAGACCAAGCCATATCTATAGTCTTAGCCATCCTGCTAATGACCCCACACACTTCCCAGTCTTTACTGTATCCGGTCCTCATGCCACAGTACAACAGCCCCAGGCATGGAGGAAAAGATCTGATCCAGGCTCTGGGGAAGCTGCTCAGAAGGTCCCTAGGTAAATAGGTTGCTGTGTCACCTGGCCACCTTCTCCCTCCCCACCTGCTTGACAGGCCTTTCATCTCAGGGAAGGGTGACCATGTGGACTGATTGGGGATTAATAATAGCGCCATACAACTGAGGCACACACGTACGCTTGGACAAGGACTTTTGGAAAGTATCTGCAGCTGCGAGCAGATGCCAGGAGCACTGGCAGCACAGGAGACCAACTGTGCTTGGCAGGCGAACATGAGTGTGTTTCCCACTCCTTCGGACATCAAGTGCACAGGAACTTGCAGTCAGGACCCACAAAGCTCACCTGGCAGCTGGATATGAGGCAGTGAAGGAAGACCGTGTGCTTCATAGGTCTGCAGACAGTGTCAGCTCCGTATATCTACCATTCACTCTCTACCAAATGCTTTAGCAGACATCTCCAATAATCTTTACAACCACCCCACAAAGAAGATATTGTCTCTTTTTATAATAGAGGAAGGACATAGAATGCTAGAGAGACTAGATGAGTTCCCTAAGTTCACACAGCTGGGAAGCAGCAGGGCCAGGTATTTTTAAAAATATTTTATTGAGGTGAAATGCACCTAACATAAAATTACCCGTGTTTCAATAAACAGTTCAGTGGCACCTGGTACATGTCGCAGAACCACCCCACCATCTCCGAAACATTCCCACCACTCTAAAGGAGAACTCCATCATTCCACCTTCCCCTGAGCCCCTCAGCCCCTCCTCTCTCGATAGCATGTTAGCAACACCCATGAAAATGAGCCCAGGGCGAACAGGCAGCCTCACCTCGTGTTCTTCTCTCCTCAGCTCCCTGTGGGGGCGACCTGACAGGACCATCTGGAGTCATCCTGTCACCAAATTACCCAGAACCCTACCCGCCAGGCAAGGAGTGTGACTGGAAAGTGACCGTCTCACCAGACTACGTCATCGCCCTGGTATTTAACATGTATGTACCTTTCCCCGGGTGGGAGATGAAGGGTTCAGAGCAGCTAGGGGCTCTGGGACCTGGGTCTCCAGGTGAGTATTCACAGGTCTGCAAGCAGAATTCTCAGCTCCATGGGAGGTGAACAAGCCAAGAGAGAGAAACTAGCATTTATTGACCGTCAAGCACCATGCTCAGCAGTCTCACGCATATCATCTCATCTAATCCTTGTAATAATTTTTGAGGAAACAATTATTATTTCTTCTTTACCGCTGAAGATACTGGGGCCCGGAAGGGAGACCTTTGCTGGATGCCCCTGCCCGACCCTCTGCATTCCCTGTCTGCTCCCCCGGCCCCTTCCACCCCACTCCACAGGTGTAAATGGACAGGCTTGGGTCCCAGGCACTCCCCCATCTAGCTCCTGCACTTGCTCTTTCATTTCAGCTACAGGAAGGCTCTTCAAAAGAACTCCCTCTGCCTTTCTCTGCTTCCTCGCCTCCTGTTCACTCTCAACTCACCGGAACCTGGTTTCTGCCCCCACAGTTCCACTGGGAAACTCCTCTGATAAAAGCCACCCATGAACTCCTGGTTCCAAACAAAATGGGCCTTTCCATGTTTTATCCCATCCACCTCTTAATCACCCCCTCCATCCTTAGTCTGATGTTTCCCTTGGTTTGTGTGAAGTCACACTCCCCGGTTCTCCAAGCTCTTCTGTGACTTCACGTGGACCTTTTTTAACGCATCTTCCCTTGCTGGGCTTTGTCAAAACCTCCTCTTGTTCCCCCACACTCCTTTCCTAGACAAGCTCAGTCATTCCTGTGTCTCCACTCCCCTCTTGTAAGTGGAAGACTCCATTCTGCCACCCACCCTGGCTTTCTTCTGAGCATCAGCCTTGCTATCCAGCTGTTGGACATCTCTGTCTGGGGTCTGCAAACACTGCAAATGAACATGTACAAAATCAAGCCTATTCCTTCTCCCCCAGAAGAGCTCTGTTCTGAGCCTTGGGGCTGGCACTGACACCTGCTCTCACAGCTTCTTCCACTAGCAGTGACCGAGGCGTGCAGCCTCCACCGCCTTCAGTCTCCTCATGTATTTTCCTCTTCTCCATCCTGCCAGCTCCTGTCCTGGTTTGAGCCCTATCATCTCCCATCTAAATTATTGCCCTCATCTCCTTGTGGGTTCCTCTGCCCCGTCTTGCCTCCCATGCCGATCTCTCCCTTAGCTAGCTGTCAGAGTGATCTTGTCACTCAAAATTGCTGAAATAACCACCCTGCTTTCCATTTTAACATCCTCTGATGACAGTGTTCAGCAATAAAAAAGAATGAACTACTGATACATGCAACAGCGTGGATGAGTCCCAAAAATATTATGCTGAGTGAAAGAAGGCAGACACAAAAAAGTACATAACGTATGATTCAACGCCTATAAAATTGTAGGATCAGCAAAACTAATCCCTGGTGAAGAATTCTGATCAGTGCTGGCATCTGAGGGTAGAGAAGGTTGAATGGGAAGGAGCACTTGGAACTCTCTGGCATGGTGGGACACTTCTGGGTCTTGTGCGTGTGTCCAAACTGATAGGGGGATACACGTTAGAGCCGATCATTTCACACAGTGTAAATCATACCTCAATTCAAAAATAAAGAAACAAACAAATAGATCCAATAGTCCTCTCTTGCTTATAAATAAAGGGCCAAACTTTGGAGCTTCATTCCAAACAATCTGGCCCCTGGCTACCTCTCCAATCAGCAGCCCCATCCTAAGCCCACCCCATCCTAAGCCCTGAGCTCCAACCAGACAGAGCTCCTTGCAGTTTCAGGGCCTCACAGACTCTTTCACATCCTTATGACTTTGCTTCTGTTTCTGTCTTCACAGCAACTTCCTGTTCCCTCCTTGTCCTACCTCTAAGGGTCTTCTCATCTCCCAAGACTCAGTTCAGGCTTGACCTCCTCCATAAACGATTGATTTTTCATCCTCCCCAAGGAACCTTTCTTTGTGTTCCTGCTCCGCCTTGGGCTGATTTTATACATTATTTTGTTGTTGACACGCCTGTCACTTCCTACAGCACCATCAATTTTTGAAGGCAGAAGTGGTGTCTGACATGTCCCTGTGTCCTTGGCACCTTGCACAGTGCCTGGAATATCGAGGGTGCTCAAAATTTGATGATAGAGGGAAGGGAGGGACAGAAAGAAGGCAGTTACTTAGGAAGTGGTGATGCCATCATTTGTGACCAAGACTGACTCCCTCCAAAACCTTCCCTGGTGACTTTTAAAAGAGTAGATGTCAAGAAGCTGAATTACGTGGGCAAGAGGACTGTGTCACCCAGCAGTGGTATGGTGACCCCGCAACTGACAGCAGTGTGAGAGGATGTTAGGTGGGAAGGAGGCCAGTGCACCTCTGGCTCTGTACTCCCTGCCTCCCAGTCCCCTATCCTGTCTCTCAGCCAGGGTTACCTCCTTTGTCCTAGAGACATATGGCCACCTCCCTCCACTACATATCTTAGCCAAAGGGTAGAGCAGTCATTTTTCTCTCAATCTCAAATAGAGTACAGTAAGTCCTCAATGTCATCTTGGAAACTGTGACTTTAGGTAAAAGGAAGTACAGCAGTTCCTCAAATAATGTTTCCTTCAATGTCATATCATTATATTGTTTTGTTTTTGTTTTTGAGACAGTCTCATTCTGTCACCCAGGCTAGAGTGCAGTGGCACAATCTTGGCTCACTGCAACCTCTGCCTCCCAGGTTCAAGCAATTCTCATGCCTCAGCCTCCCAAGTAGCTGAGATTACAGATGTACACCAGCACACCCGGCTAATTTTGTATTTTCAGTAGACAGAGGGTTTTGCCATTTTGGCCAGGCTGGTCTTGAACTCCTGGTTTCAAGCGATCTTCCCGCCTTGGCCTCCCAAAGTGCTGGGATTACAGACGTGAGCCACTGCACCCAGCCTATAATGTTGATGAGTAAAAATAAATTGGTTTTGTTATATGTCATTTCACTTAAAGTCGTGGTTTCTGAGAGCCTATGAACTATACTGAGGACTTGCTATATCTGAGTATCCCAGCCCATGGCTGGGCATGAGCAAATTTGCCTCTGAAATCTGTTCTCTGCAAGCTCATATACTTTTCTGTTGTTTTCATCTTTGCACACTTGATTGGTATCAATTGCCTTTGTTGAATATATACTTACAAGTAGAATTGCTGCACCAGAGCAGGGTCACTTCAGAAAGTTTGTGTACAAATTGAATTAAAAGATAAAAATAAAAATTATAAACTTTGTTACTCAACATAAACTCCATCAACCTCAAGACACTTCTATAAACAATAATAACAGTCATTTAGTCCATCCCGAAAGAACTGAGTGTGCCAGCAATTTCACCAAGTCAGTGTAGTCCTTTTTACTTTATTAACTGAAGAAAAAAAAAATAAGTGCCCTTTAGAGATTTTTTCCAGATTAGGAAACAAAAAGCAATAAGAAGGAGCCAAATCAGGACTGTAAAGTGGATGTCTAATGATTTCCCATCGAGACTCTTGAAACATTCCCCTTGTTTGATGAGAGAAATGATCAAGAGCATTGTTGTCGGGGAGGAGGACTCTCTCCTGAAGCTCTCCAGGCATTTTTCTGCTAATGCTTTAACTAACTTTCTCAAAACAATCTCATAATAAGCAGATGTTATCATTCTTTGGCCCTTTAGAAAATCAACTGCAAAATGCCTGGAGTGTCTGAAAAAAAAAAAAAAAACCATTACCTTGGCTTTTGCTCTTGACCAGTGCACTTTTGCTTCCACTGGACGCTTCCACCCCCTGCTAGCCATTGCTTTGGTTGTGCTTCGTCTTCAGATTGTACCGGCAAGTCCATGTTCCATCTCCTTTCCTTGGGAGAAATGCTTCAGGATCTTCATCCCACATTTTTAAAATTTCCATTGAAAGCTCTGCTTTTGTCTGCAGCTGATCTAAATGCAATGGTTTTGACAGCCATCAAGTAGAAAGTTTGGTCAACCTTAAGTTTTTAGTGAAAATTGTGTAATCTGAAGCAGTCGAGCTGTGTATGGTATTGGCTCTTTTTGTGTTATTAATCATTTGGTCCTATTCAATCAGGACACAAACGGGATTAATTTTTTTCCTCTCAAATGGATGTGGAGGTCCACCTTAGTGGGCTTCATCTTCATCATCAACTCCTCCCTTCTTGAAACAAGTTATCCATTTGTAAACTGCTGATTTCTTTGGGGCATTGTCCCCATAAACCTTTTGCAAAGTGTCAGTGATGTCACCATTCTTCTCCCCAAACTTCACCAAAAATTTGATGTTTTTTCTTGCTTCAATTTTAGCAGAATTCAGTTTGCTCTGATGGAGGCTTTTTTTCAGGCTGGTATCTGGTCCTGGCTAATGACTCACATAAGATCCTGGGCAGACATGTTATCTCAAGTTGGTGTGAGCTTATTTTGTTGCAAAACACTTTTGAACTTCATGCGTAATTTTTTCATAATATGCATTTTCCATGAACTTTTTAAAGACCTCTTGTATGTTCAGATTTAGTAGATACGATGAAACAGTCTTCCAAAGTGGTTAGAAGACTTTGTGAACCATTCACTTCATGAAAGTACGAATCATTCACGTTCCCACCAGCAGGGCATGAGAGGTCCAGTAGCTCCACATTCATGTCAATACTTGGAATTTTCCATCATTTTCACTCTAGCCATTCCAGTGGGATAAATTACATTCATGAACTCGAATATTCAATTTGCTCAATAAGTTTTTTAAATGGATTTTTTCCTCAAACCGGGGTCAGAATAGCTAAGAATGAGGACATCTGTGGGTGCTAGGAGTGGTGCAATAGCAGGCCCTGAGGAGAGCTGGAGCACTAGCTTGGAATGAAGCCATGAAGCTAGGGGTCCCTCATGGTAACAGACTCCTTCTTGCCTGGGAATGGCTCCCTAGTTGGCTCATTCTCTCTTAGAAAATGAGGTTCAGAACAGCACAGTATGAGAATATTGGTGTCAGGTAAGAGACCTGGGTTCTGGACTACTTTGGTTGACAACTTGGTGTCTAGAGTTGGCAACTCATCTTCCCTTCTGTATAAGGCAGATGTTAGGTTTTTGAACACTGACTGGAATCTGTCTCCTCTCCTCCTGAGCCTGCCTCTTCCATCTTCTCACCTGACTGAGGCCATCCAGGCCTCATCTTCTCCCTTTCTACCAGCCAGTCTCTGGGAGTTGGGTACCAGTGGGTTGGTGGGCTTGCTCCCTGGGAGGCCCCATGCTTTGGTTGAACCTAAGACACCAGCAAAAGCCTTTATTTGACCTTAGTGGGGTGGGGGTGGGATGTTTTTGTTCCCTAGCTTTAACTTGGAGCCTGGCTATGACTTCCTCCATATCTACGATGGACGGGACTCTCTCAGCCCTCTCATAGGAAGCTTCTATGGCTCCCAGCTCCCAGACCGCATTGAAAGCAGCAGCAACAGCCTCTTCCTCGCCTTCCGCAGCGATGCATCTGTGAGCAATGCTGGCTTCGTCATTGACTATACAGGTAAGGGCCCTGGTGCCAGAGAGTACTGTGGACAGGTCCAGCCAACATGGCAGAGGATAAGTAGTGTAGCATAGTGAGGAGAGCCCTGGGCTGGACCACAGCAAGCCCACACCAACCCTAGCACTGCTGCCACCTGCAGAAACCTGCCTTTCCTGTGCCCCCTCAATGGCTTAGTCCTCTACCCCTATACTCTCCAGGGGTGGGAAGAAAGGGGACCAGTATTCCTTTTGCACCCCATCTATTTCCAACCACTACTCTTCTTGTCCTCTTTTTCTGTGACTGTCATTCCTATGTCTACTTCAGCCTTATACCCTCACTTCATAGCTATCAGCTGATATCTTCCTGGGCACTACCCTTCACTAAAAGGGTTCTGATATGAGGCTCAATCTTTCTCTCCACCCAGAGCTTCTCACCATCCTGGGTAACTTCAACATCCCAATGGATGGCTCATCTAATCCTAGGGTCATGGTGTTTGGACCTCTGTCCCAAGGACACCCCTTGGCCACACTCTGACACCTCATCTTAGACTGGTCACTTTCTGATACCTCCTTATCACATTTACTCATCCTTCCAGCTGACTTACTCCCATTGCACATTGCACATCTGTGCTAATTAAGGCAAGTTCAATAGTGTTATAGTCAAAAGCAAGAGTCAACAATTCTCTTAAAAATAGTAAATATTTTAGGTTTACCTATTAGAACTACTCAGCCTTACCACTGTAGCGCTAAAGCAGCCATAGACAAAACATAAATAAATAGGCATGGCTGCATTCCAAGAAAAACTTCCTTACAAAAACAGGCTGTCCCTGCCTGGTTAAGAGCATTGACTGTCAAATTAATTGGACTAAAAGTTCATGTTTACGACTTAACATGTGCGTGACCTTGGATAAAATATTGAACCTCTTGAAGCCTCCATTTCTTCCTTTATAAAACAGTGGTAGGAAAATTCCTGCTTCACAGAAATGAAGAGAGATCAATGAGTCCAGGCATGATAGTCCTTGGTACAGTGTCTGGCACATATTACGCGTTCTATAATGTTCAAATATTATTAGTAGTAGTAAGAGGAGTTCCAGGCTGTCAAGCACTCCGCTGTCTTCTATGCTATTATCTCTTTTTGACCTTTCATTCTTCCCTAATTATCCCAAATCCCATTATCTAAATCCCAGCTCCCTTCCTTGGTTGATTTGTGAGCTTGGCAAGTTACTATCTCTTGAAGCATCATCTACAAAGTGTCGCTAGTAATAATTATGTTGCAGGAGGTTAAGATTAAAAGATATTTTATACACACATATTATACATATACATACATATGTATAATGCTCCATATGTGCTAAAGACTCTACACATGCTCTGGGAATGATAGATTTTGTTATTGTTACTATAACCCAAGTTCACCCAGGCCCCATCAGCCTGTGCATACAAACAGGGTCACATTACCAGTTAAAATTAAAGATTTTCTGGTTCGTGTTCCCTGCTTGCATAATGTAGGACGTAGGACCTGAGACACCTTTTAAACTGTCCCCTAATTAAATATTTCTGGCCACCCCTAGGAATATCTCACATGAGCTCACACATAACACTAATTAGAACAATGGCAAACTTAGTGTTTACCAACTGCCAGCACCGTCCTAAGTGCTTTATATCCATCAACTCATTGAACTCCTCCTAGTTCTCGATTATGTCCTGTTTGTCAGGTACAGTTCTAGAAGACTGGTACGTGAAATGGAGAATGTTTTCCTTGTAGTCTTCTTCCTCATGGGGCTGGCCTAGGGAATGGATGTTCTGCCATCCTCTCTTCCTCCAGGCACCTGCCATTGGGTAAACCTCCTGGGCCCAAACTCTCTTCGGCACACTGATATCACCACAGTCAGATACTTCGAATTCTAACAGAAGGCATGACTTAGACCCAGTCTGGGACCTCAATTGTTCCCGCCACCCCCATCCCCACTGCCATACCATCACCATTTCTTTTTCATCTCTTCATTCCTATTCTCGTCAGTACCTTCAATTACCCTGTCCCCTAGTCCTCCAAGCGCATAAACCTTGCAAAACTGTACTCTCTGTTGAACTCACACCCACACAGCTGAGAACACCCAGATGAAGCTGCACAAACATGATACTTAGAGCCACTACAAATGATGTCCTTGCCCCTAGCCAAGCCCTAGCAACCACCAGAGCTGCCTCTGACTTGATCCAACTCTGACTCTTCTCCCTGGCAGAGATTCCAGAATTCACCCCAAATGTCACCCCTGTCAGCCTCATTTTTTATAGGATGACATTTCAGCTTCCCTGGATATAGTAAACTACTGGGTAGAAACCCTCTCAGCTTCCTCTCCAGTCACCTTGTTCATGGCTACCTGATTGTGGCCATCTCTCCCCCAGGTCTTCTCCAGGGAAATTCATGGTCTGAGAGCGAAATTTCAATTCTCCTTCCCAGTGAAGTTCTTTTCACTTTTACCTGTTGACCTGGGGTGGTATCTAGAGGGGTCTTTAGGTGTAAAACCATAGCCCAAAATAAGGCCTTCCCAGCTGCCAACTGAGCCAGCCAAGCAGCTAAAGGAAGGCTGATTACTGGAGGGAGGGGAAAGGAGAGGCACAGCCTATAAATGCATTCTGCATCACCCTATTAGGATCTGTAGTGCAGGTACCAAGATAAAGATAACTATGTGTGTTTGAGGGGTCAGGGTGCCTGTTGAAAGCCTCAAGTATCCTTCTTTAGTTCCTTCCTTCCTTCCCAGACAACACACCTCCAAATATTAGTCACCCTCTACTATCTCCCTGGGCCTCTGGTCTAGTAACCCATTTGGTGGAACCCAGGGACCCTGCCTTGCCCTCTGATCTCCTTCTGCTTATGCCAGGATCCCTGGATTCCTGGAATGGGTCTACTTTGCTATCAGATCCCATGGCTTTGATGATATTCTCCCATGCACGATATCTTTCTTTATAAGGAAGGCTCCATCACTTTATAACTGCATGGCCTGAAACAAGTTGCCTAATTCCTCTAGAGCATTGCTTCCTCATCCATGAAAAAGGGACAGTGACACTAAATGAAGGAGTTGTTGTGAGGGTTAGCAAATAGGCACAGCACTAAGCAGAGTGCCCGGTGCCAATAGGTACTTGACATGTACTTTGATCCACCCACTTTCATCCCATCTCCTCTTTCCTGTGTAATTGGTATTGCATTAGCTCTGTCTTTGTTTGGAAGGGAGAATGGTACAGACCCCTCTTTATGGGGCTAGTCCAGAAGAACACAGTACATGTTCTTTTCTGTGTACTGAAGATATAAAGTGTGAGCATAATATTTTGCACATGTCATAAGTGTGGGATATTTGTTACATGAATATCTGTGATAGACATGTGTGTCTCATATGCTTTGCCAGTCCATAGCAAAGAACTTAAGACCCTCCACACCCTGTGAGTTTGGAGAGAACCATAGATGGAGAAGCAGCCCAATGAAGACATCCACATGGAGGCAGGGCTAGGTCCTCAGGAAGAGCAGAATTGGACTCTGCATCCAGCAGCCACCTGTGTCCTGTGTCCATGTCTTTTAGAGAGATCCAGGGCTCTGCTAAAGCTGAGAATCTGGGTATCCCGGGAGCTGTGGCTTCAGGGGTCTTGCTTAGGGAGGTGAAATGGGCCTACGAGAGCCCCACATAGAGAGATGTTGCTGGACTCAGCTGGGCTTAGCACAGTGGAAATTACTGAGATTAACCCTTCCTCTGACCGAAGGCAGAAAGATCAGGAGCCTTTCTCCACATCCAGCTTCCCAAGTGGGAAGCAGAAACAGTTTGGTAGAATCTTAGGAAATATCTAGTTTCAAATAATAAAAAAAAAAAACACTCAGAGCGACTTAAGCAACAAAGGGGTAATTTATTATAAAAACACAAGAAACAGAAACCCACTCAAAACAATCTGACACAAAAAGGAGACATTATTATGAGAAAACAAAAACCTAAATAACTTAAGCTAAAAGGTTTCTATATTTTAACAATACAGATAACAAAAACTCCCTCTGACATAAAAAGGCAAAATATTTGTAGAATACGAGAACCCAAGGGCAGGAAGCATAAACTCCCAAAGGACTGGAATCAGGATGGGAGAGGCACAGGCTGAGACAATCATCCTCACTCCAGGATCGTTCTCTCTCTCCCCTGCCTCCTTCTGAGGACTTGCTGCATTCTCCCCTCCCTACAGATCAATTTTCCTTGCCTGTCCATTCTCCTGGGATAAGTATGGCCATCTCACTCTTGACTTTCTTTTTTTTTTTTTTTTTTTTTTTTGAGGTGGAATGTCACTCTGTTGCCCAAGCTGCAATGGCACAATCTCAGCTCACTGCAGCCTCCACCTCCCAGGTTCAAGTAATTCACCTGCCTTAGCCTCCTAAGTAGTTGAAATTACAGGCGTGCACTACCACACCCAGCTTGTTTTGGTATTTTTAATAGAGATGGGGTTTTGTTATGCTGGTCAGGCTGGTTTCAAACTCCTGACCTCAACTGATCCACCTGCCTTGGCCTCTCAAAGTGCTGGGAATATAGGTGTGAGCCACCACACTTGGATCACTCTTGACTTTGAATCACTTCCCAGTTTATATTCCAGTTTCAGATCCCAAAGGATCATCTGAGAGACCAGGCTTCATTCAAGGGTTCACTGAGCAGAATCATGGGATTAGGCTTTTGCAGAAGGGGCAAGAGCAGATTAGGCATTTTTATTTTTTTATTCATTCAGTAAATATGAATTGAGCAGCTACCATGTGCCAGACCTACTTACAGGAGCTGAGAACAGGGCAGGGAACCAAATGAAGTCTCTGCCTCCATGGAGTTCACATCCTTGTGACAGTTAGACTGGTGAACCCTTCTGTAGATGAGATGTTGGAAGTCCACCTGGTTCTAAGGCAAAGAGGGGTGGGTTTTTAGATGTCTCTGTTCAGTTGCTTCTGAAGGGTAACTGTGGTGTCTTAGTCCTCTCTGGGCAGACTTTCTAGGAGATGATTCTGAATGCAGT